GGGTCAAAGACATCACAGAAGAAATTAGAAAGTAAACTTTAAGATGAAAGGAAATAAAAGCTTTAAGATGAATGGAAATATGTATGGCAAATACATAATAACCCTTGTCCCAAATTTTCTCTTGAAATCTAAACTCCCATATCCAATTAACTATGTAATAGCTTTACTAGAATGTATAACAAGCAACTGAAAAACTTCAAATTTTTTTCTCTTTGAAAGTTGCCTTTTACTCTCTTTCATCATCTCAGCTTATGGTACCTTCCAGTTGTTTAGTATCAAAACCTCGGAGTTATCTTTGACACCTCTCTTTCTCTCACTTCTTCCATCCAATGTGTTAGCAAATCTTATGAACTCTCCTTTCTAAGCAGAGTCCAAATTCGACCCCTTTCCACAACTTTCACAGCTAGCACTGTGATCCACCATATTTTTCACTGAAATCATTGCAATAGTCTCCCAGCTGCACCTTTGCCTCAGTTAAATCTACACATAGCAGCCATAGTGATTCCTGTGATGATGTTGACATTTTCCCTTGTTGACATCATTTATGTTAAAAAGCAAAGTCATATCACTTTGTTATTTGCCTCTTCAATTCATTTTACTACACTATGAATATTTCACAATTCAGTTAAACTCTTCAAAGTCTTATAAGGAAGAATGTTTATTTTGCTATATTTCTAGAAATTGAACTTTCAAATCTCTTTAAAGCTTTAAAGTTCTTTTTCATAGGTTTGTATTAATGTTTTCTTAAGTAATGTATGAGATTTATATAATTTTGCCTTGCACTGAATTGTAACATTTGCAATGTTCCAGTTGGAGAAATATTTAAAAAACAAAACAATAAAAACATTTAAAAATCATGTTATTTGTTTTTTTTTGTTATAGAGTTGTAAGAATTCTATATTTTCCTGGCTATTTTTGCATCTGCATTTTTTTGCGGTTGAATCTCAGTATTGCTTCATCAAGAATGGTTAGCAAATTGGACTTCCAGCCAAGATGGAGGCATAGGTAGACACACTGTACCTCCTTGCACGACAAAAAATAAAGACAACAAAAAATTAGAAACAAAAAAACCCCAGTACTAACAGAAAATTGAACTATATTGAAGTCCGACAACCAAGGAGTTGAAATAGATATATTCATCCAGACCAGTAGGAGGGGTGGAGTTGGGCGGCCAGACAGAGAGGGGTAATGGCAAAAAAAAGCAGTAGCTGGCAGACCCCGGGGTGCAGGGTGGCAGTGGGTGGACCCAGTGAGACGGTAGGTTGTGGAGGGGCACGGGACAGCTGGTGGACTGGGTGATCCCACATTCACTCACAGATAAACCAGGTGAAACTGGGGAGTGAGACAGACTGCACAACCCAGGGTCCCAGCATGGGGAAATAAAGCCTCAAAACACCAACTGAAAACACCTGTGAGGGTTGAGGTGTGGGGAGAGACTCTCAGACTCACAGGAGAGTTCATTGGAGAGACCCACAGGGTCCTAGAATGTACACAAACCCACTCACATGAAAATCAGCACCAGAAGGGCCCAGTTTGCTTGGGGGAATTGGTGGAAGGGACTGAAATCCCGCAGAGAGCACAGTAAGTGTCATTATTCCCTCTTGGACCCCTGCCCTACACACAGAATCACAATGCAGTGGCATGGGTTGCCCCGCCCTGGTGAATACCTAAGACTCCACCCCTCACCACGTAACAAGCGTGTTGAGACAAAAAAAAAAAAAAGGCCCAAATGAAAGAATAGATAAAAGCTCCAGAAAAAATACAACTAAGAGACGAAGAGATAGCCAACCTATTAGATGCACAGTTCAAAGCACTGGTGATCAGGATGCTCACAGAATTGGTTAAATTTGTCTGAAAATTAGATGAAAAAAATGAAGGCTACACTAAGTGAAATGAAGGAAAATGCACAGGGAACCAATAGTGATGGGAAGAAAACTGGTATTCAAATCAATAGTGGACCAGAAGGAAGAAAGGAACAACCAAACAGAAAAGAATGAAGGAACAAGAACTCAAAAAAATGAGGAGAGGCTTAGGAACCTCCAGGACATCTTTAAACATTCCAACATCCGAATTATAGGGGTACCAGAAGGGGAAGAGGAACAGCAACAAGTGGAAAACTTATTTGAACAAATAATAAAGGAAAACTTCCCAAATTTGGCAAAGGAAATAGACTTCCAGGAAGTCCAGGAAGCTCAGAGAGTCCCAAAGAAGTTGGACCCAAGGAGGAACACACCAAGGCACATCATAATTACATTACCCAAGATTAAAATGAAGGAGAGAATCCTAGAAGCTGCAAGAGATAAGGGGACAGTCACCTACAAAGGAGTTCCCATCAGACTGTCAGCTGATTTCTCAAAAGAGACCTTACAGGCAAGAAGGGGCTAGAAAGAAGTATTCCAAGTCATGAAATCCAAAGACCTACAACCAAGATTGCTCTATCCAGAAAAGCTTTCATTTAGAATGGAGGGGAAGATAAAGTGCTTCCCAGATAAGATCAAATTCACGGAGTTCATTATCACCAAGCCCTTATTATATGAAATGTTAAAGGGATTTATCTAAGAAAAAGAAGATAAAAAAGATGAGCAGTGAAAGGACAGCAAACTCACAGTTATTAAGAACCACACCGAAAACAAAAACAAACTAAGCAAACAACTAGAACAGGGACAGAACCACAGAAATGGAGATCACATGAAGGGTTAGCAACAGGGGAGTGGGTGGAGGAGAGAGGGGGGAAAAGGTATAGAGAATAAGTAGCATAGATGGTAGGTAGAAAATAGACAGGGGGAGGGTAAGAATAATATGGGAAATGTAGACACTAAAGAACTTATAAGTATGACCCATGGACAGGAACTAAATGGGGGGAATGTGGGTGGGAGAGGGTGTGCAGGGTGGAGGGGAATGAAGGGGGGAAATGGGACAACTGTAATAGCATAATCAATAAAATGTATTTAAAAAAAGAATGGCTAGCAAATTTTATGTAGCTTAAAAGTAAAAAGCAAATATTAGGCCTGAATCCAGTCCATTTGACTCTGCAGATGAAATCCTCCCCAATATTTCCCTTTTAAATGCCCTAAAAAATGTGGCCACAAATATTGTGAAGTTGATTTAAACTCTACTTGTATATATGAAACAGGAGTAGGGCTCAGCAATATTTTCCTGTAGGCTTGTGGTGGCTTGCAGATGGGAGTAGTTAATTACTCTCTGACCTGATTTACTTACAGTAGCACTGACTCAGAGATTGAGGCTGTAGAAGCTCTTTCCAAGATCAGCATGCCGCACTGACCTGAGGTGATTACTGTAATGTCCCAGGGACCTAGATCCCCACCGCCACCTCTCACCCAAGTTCAGAATGTAACCCACACTGTACACACAGCCTGACTGCCAGCTATGGACTGGCATGGTGCTGGACCCCATTAGGGAGCAGAGTGCTTTCCGAAAAGCTTTAGTCCTTGGGGAGGGATGTGTGCATGAAAGGGAACCAGGCATTTCTTATGCCAGTTGCTTAATCTTTGGGGTATCAGAAAAACAAACAAACATTTCTTAGATCAATATTCTCAAGGGTTATCTGATGCAAGCCTCTGCCTGGGGCTGGAGCATCAACTGATTCTCCAATTTCTCTCTCCAGGGTGGGTATGAACTTGAACACTTATAATGAATGTCTTGCATTTTGCCCCCTGGGAAATTAATGTGTATGTGTGACTATGATGGAGAAAAAAGGGGTAATGATAAATTCACAACTGGACATCTGGAGTGCTTGTTTCTTTACAACCAAGTTTCTAAACCCCCTTTCCCTCCTCATTATTGTCCCCACCAAAAGAGCATTTCGAGATTCTTCCCCTCTAATTACCCATCTCCTATGCAATTTTAATACTACAGATATACTGTATATGTGTCCATGGAATGTATATATATGTGTGCTTGATACATAAAAATATATTTTTCCTCCCTGGGGGCCATGTGGTTCCCACTCATGCTTTACAGTAGTTCACACCTGGTCCCCTTGGCAGCCTCTGCCACATAAAAGCAGGAAGAAGGCAGTTTAACAGGTACTGTGGAGTGTGTGAGCTAATGCGATCAAGTCCTTAGCAAAGTACCTGGCCCATGGAGTGTGGCTGAAAAATGAGAGGCCATGTTGTTGTTACCATTACTATTCTTTTATGGATCACAGTGATGTTTGCACCTCTCTCTCAGGCTGTGAATACCCATCATCCTTTAGGGCTGGTCAGAGATCTGAGTCATTCCCATCCTGGAGCTTCAACCAGAGACCCGAGGGGCTTATAAGGTAGTGAGTTGGGCCGGGTGGGGACTGTGGCACCAGGACAGCCCACCATGCTCCATTTAAACATGGCAGCTGCTCCTGGGGGACAGCCCAGTCGTTCCAGGCATGGTGCCAGGCAGCTGCCAGGGCCTAGTGGTATCAGACTTATGATTTCTCAGGAGAAGCTGGGAATCTGGAGTTTTGATTCAGTCTTCTGACTTGTAAGTATTGACTCAATTAAACAACAATAACGTTATCAAGTCCCGAAATGCAGTGCTCTTTCCACTTAAACCAGAGCCCACTTGGCGCCTCAGGACCCTCTCCACTTCCCTTTTTGGGGGGAGATTTTAATGCCTCTCCCTCTGGCTCTCCTGCCTGGGGAGGGGGTTCAGGCGTGGGCCATTCCCGACTGGGACCAACGAGAATACCTCCCCTCCCCATCCATCACTCCCTTTCCAGAAGGACCTGGATTCTGTCTGTAGAGGCAGAAGGTCAGGACACCCCAGCCTTACTCGTGGGCGCCGGGAGAGAACGGCTGGGAGGGCTGAGCCCGCAGAAGGAGGCGTCCAGGCTCCAGGGCCGAGTGTGAGAATGCGGACCTAGCCAGGGCGCACCGCAGGCCGCACCCGACCTCGCCCAGCCTCTCCCCGCGCTGACCTCGGCAGCTCCGAATGAAACAGCCGGTTGTTCGCGCCGCCCTCTGACCTTTCCATTCAGGGTGTTGCTTTCTATTCGCCCGGGTCGCAGGTAGGAGGCGAGGAATGCCCGGGTTTAGAAGGTTGGATCCACGCCAGGCCTGTGGCCTTCGGCCCCCAGGCCACCAGGCGCCGCGCTCTGGCGGGAAGACAGATCACCAGGGTAGGCTGTAGCTGTAGCTCGGCCATGGGCTCCGGTGGCTCCAGCGCCGCGCAGATCCCCGACGCGGACAACATTCGGCGGGAGACGGGCTGTGAGCAGGGAGCCCGGGGCTCCAGTGGGGTCCTGACAAAGGCTGGGTGGAGGGATGCGCGAGCCCGGGAGTCCAAACTGTAATCACGGAGCCAGGGGCGCGGTACTTCTGCGGCCCGGCATCCATGTTTAAGGCAGAGCCGGGTTCCCAAGCTTGGGGACACCCGGGGGTCCTCCAGCCCGGATGGAAGGGGTTAGCTTTGGTCCCTTGGTCCAAAGAGGAGCGCGGCTGCTCAGAGAGCCTTCTTGGGTCTCGTCAGGCGCCTTCAACCTCCAGCTGGCCCCAGGTCTCTGGCGGAACGCACCCTCCGGCCAGCCCTCGACCGCCGCCACCTACCGGGCCTCCTGGGCATCATCCTTCTGCCTTTCCTCCCACAGTCTCGCAGGCCACTTTGCTCCGTCTCTACCACCGGTTTCGGGCCCTGGACAGGAACAAGAAAGGTTACCTTAGGTGAGGGGGAGCTGATCTGTGACTTCCCCCTCTGTGTCTCTGACCCTATCCCTCCCTTTGACCCTTCACATCTTTGGTCTCTGCCCTACCTGTTTTGAACTACCTTTCCAGCCGCGTGGACCTGCAGCAGATCGGGGCGCTGGCTGTGAACCCCCTGGGGGATCGCATTATAGACAGCTTCTTCTCTGATGGGTGAGCCTTGCTGGGCATGAGGAGGTGGAGAGAAAATCTAGCGTGGGACGGTGGGGGTAGTTTAGGGACAGAAGCAGAAGGAGGGCCAAGGTGACCACTGCCTCTGGTCATTCCACCTCCACCCCTCCCAGGAGCCTGCGAGTGGATTTCCCAGACTTTGTGAGAGTCCTGGCTCACTTCCGACCTGTAGATGAGGACACAGGAACCCGGGACCCCAATGAACCTGAACCCCTCAACAGCAGAATGAACAAACTTCGCTGTGAGTTGGTAGGGTCTCCCCAAGTGAGACCCTAGATTTAACGCACCAGTGAGTGGCTCCAGGCACTCCCACTCCCATCCTGAGACTATTAATGACTCCCTGCTGGCCAGGGTGACCTGCTGGAAGAGAACCAGGGAAGACCCACCTTCCCTTTCCCCCTCTTCTCTCTCCCCAGTTGCATTTCAGTTGTATGATCTGGATCGAGATGGAAAGATTTCCAGGCACGAGATGCTACAGGTTGGAATAACACAAGAATAGAGATGTAGTCTGTGATGGCTGGGATGGTTGAATGGAGTGACTATGGGGCTTGGGTAGATAATTGGTGGGCTGGGAATGCAGATGATTGGAGTGTTGGTTGGGCAATGGGAATGGGTGCAGTTGGAGTGTGGGTTATTGGGAGATGGGGGGGGTGCCACAGTGGGGTATGAGGTTGTCAATAGATCAGTGGTTCTCAGTGGGGGGGGATTTTTGCCCCCCTTAATGACATTGCCAATATCTGGAGACATTTTTGGTTATCACAGCTGGGGAGGCTGGGAGCAACTGGCACCTTGCTGGGTGGAAGTCAGGAATGCTGCTAAACATATTATAATATACAAGATAGCACCCTCCCAATACACACAAGGAATTATTTGGCCCCAAATGTCAATGGTGCCGAGACTGAAAAACTGGGATAGATGTGATGAAGTGGAATTTGAGAATGGGGTGGAGGATGGATGGAGGCTGGATTCTGAGACTGCAGTTGAGTAATGAGCCTGGGCATACTATTGAGGTGAGTGTGGGAAAGTGAGGGACAGATGGGTGTTTGCATGGTGAAGCAATGGGGGGAATTGGTGGATATGGTAGGAAGTGATTGGAATGGAGTGAACAGTGGATGAGGGATGGATTATGAAATTGTTAATAACTTTTGGGGCTGTGTGAACAAGGTTGGGGGTGGTGCGAATAGTTCCTGTGCCTCCCCTTTATAGTCGTCTCTTCCTTCACCTACCAGGTACTCCGGCTGATGGTTGGGGTACAGGTGACAGAAGAGCAGTTGGAGAGCATTGCTGACCGCACAGTGCAGGAGGCTGATGAAGATGGAGATGGGGCTGTGTCTTTCCCAGAGTTCACCAAGGTCAGAATGCCCTTGGGGCCTGAGGAGTTGAAAGCATGAGTCCCTAGGACAGATGGACATGGGAATTAAAGCTTGAAGGAGGAGAGCAAAGACAGGGGTTCTTGGAAATGGTGGGGCCTTAGGGATGAAAGAGGTTGGAAGAATAGACTGTAATAAGTCCTCTTGACTACCACCCATCTTTACCAGTCCTTGGAGAAGATGAACATTGAGCAGAAGATGAGCATCCGGATCCTGAAGTGACCTTCATTGTGCATCTGGCCAGCTTGAAAAAAGCAGTTCTGCCTGGGGTTCAACCTTAGCGTCCATGAAGGGATGGGCTCCAATAAACTGTAATTTTACGTGTACATTTAGGGTCAAGGAGGCAAAGCTGGATGGGCGTTTACTAAAGTCTAACTCATTTGATTCTGGATCTGCAAATCAGCCAATAATCTTAGCTGCAAGTGACTGAAATGCCAAATCAAAGGGACTTCACTTAAAAAGGGACTTGTTGGACTCATAAAATTGTGGAAGTGTCTTCAGGCACAGCTGAATCCAAGAGCTCTGATGATGCTATCTGGACTTAGTTATTCTCCATCTGTCAGATTATTTTTTGTATGTGTTGGCTTCATTCTAGGAAGGGTCTTTACTTATGGTGGAGGATGGCCACTACTTGCTCCAGGCTTCCTCAGTAACCCAGTGGGAACAGATTTTCTTTTTCAATAATTTCAAGCAAAGAGTGTCATCAGCTCACTGGGGCCTTGTCCCTACTTCAGGGGAAGGGAATATTCTGATTAGCCAGGTGTGTGTCATGTGCTAACTGCTATAGCCAAGAAATAGGTACTGAGGACTCAGGATGGGCTAAGGGATGTTTACTTAAACTTTAAGCCTTAAAGGACAACGAAGTGCTATTATCAGAAGAAGAGGGATGATGTTGGTCAGACAAAATCAGATATCCATTACTGTTAAGTTGACCAAATGCATGGATTCATGAAGTCCTCTTAAATGGGTTTTCACTTGATCCCATGGGTGTATGCTGGTGTGATTTAGGTGGAGGGTGGGGGAGAGGTGATATTAAAATAATAAATAAGACATGCCTTTCTATAATATGAAATAGTTCAAAGTTTTGGAGAGTAATTTCATTTTTTTAGTGGTAAGATTTTTTTTAATGATGACACATCACAGGAAGTGTGAAAGTCACATAAAAGCATGAGATCCTAGGTCTGGAGCAAAGCACTTGGGCTGTACCTGTGGGAGATGTGTCGGTGCCCTGTCCAAGTCCTCTCGCAGAACTGTGCTGGAGTTGTAGCAATAGATGAGAGCCAACTGTGCTCATATTTTCCTAACTCTGCCTTCAGTGATGTCACACTGGCACCTTGAAATTGGCTGTTGTAAGAATATATACACCAGAAGCTCTGACAAATGCAATAGGCAGGGCTTTTCCAAATAGGAGAGCTGTTGTCAAACCTTTATTTGCACACTGGTTGTCAGGCATCACTATGACCATTTACTCATATGCCAGTGGTTCCTGACCCCCAGCTGTAATGAGGTATAATTGGCATACAAAAAATGTACATAATTAGTATATACAATTTGATCCCGGGCTGGTATGGCTCAGTGGATTGAGCACGGGCTGTGAACCAAAGTGTCACTGGTTTGATTTCCAGTCAGGGCACATGTCTGGGTTGTGGGCCAGGTCCCCAGTTCATGGTGCTCAAGAGGCAATCGCACATTGATGTTTCTCTCCCTCTCTTTCTCCCTCCCTTCCCCTCTCTAAAAATAAGTAAGTAAATTTTAAAAAAAACTGCACATAATTAATATATACAATTTGATGAGTTTGTACATAATTAAGGTAGTAAACATGTCCATCGTTGCCAAAAATTTATTTCTTTGTTTTTTAAAAATAGTTTTTATTTATTTATTTTTAAAGAGAGGGGCCAGGAGAGAGGAAGAGAGGGAGTGAAACATTGATGCATGAGAGAAACATTCACTGGTTGCCTCTCACATACACCCCAACTAGGGACTGGGTCCACAACCCAGTCTTGTACCCTGCCCTGGAATCTAACTGGTGACCTTTTGCTTTGCAGGATGACACTCAACCCATGAAGCCATACCAGTCAGGGCTAGTGGTTTTCTTTGTGCTTGTTTGTTGTTTTGTAAGTGTTTAGTAAGCACACTTAACTTGAGATCTACCTGCTTAACAAAATATTTTATATTACTTTATTGTTGTTCAATTATAGTTGTCTGCATTTCCCCCCCTTAACAAAATTTTAAAGTGCATAATACCTTATTGTTAACTCTAGGCACTATGTTACACAGCAGACTCTGGAACTTACCTTGTGTAACTATAATTTTATAGTCACTGTACAGCAGTTTCCCATATCTTCCTCCCCCATCCCACAGTAACCACCATTCTATTGTCTACTTCAGTGATTTTCAACCTTTTTCATCTCTTGGCACACATAAACTAATTACTAAAATTCTGTGGCACACCAAAATATATTTTCACTGATCTGACAAAAAGTAGGTATAATTTTCATTCATTTATACTAGATGGCTATTGTTGTGTTGGCTGTTGTCATTTTTTATTTGACAACTTAAGGGAAAAAAGGTCAGTGCCCCTGACTAAATAGTTAGGTATTGAACGTCTTAAAAATACTTGCAGCGCACTAGTGTGTCTTTGCATTAGTGGTTGAATGCACAATGGTTGAAAATTGCTGATCCATTTCTATACATTTGATTATTTCAGTCTCCTCATACAACAGGAACCGTGCTGTATTTCTTTCTGTGGCTGCCTCATTTCACTTAGCATAATGCTTCCAGGCCCATCCATGTTGTTACAAAGAGTTGGTTTTCTTTCTTATTAAAGACTGAATAATATTCCATTGTATGCATATACCACATATATCTGTTGATGGACATTTGGGCTGTTTTCATATCTTAGTTATTATGAATGATGCTGCAATGAACTGTCGTAGACGGCTCTGCCTGGTTCTAGGAATTGTATCTCAACCCTCTGTGGCTAAGGGCGAGGGACGACCTTTGGAATTGGAGCCACAGGAGATGAAGCTTGTCTCTGGTAGCAAAGCTGCCCCAGTTTCCTCTCCCTGCCCCCAAAGCTTGGTTGGAAGTCAATGACCAGTAAGACCCCTCACAGCAGGGGTCAACCTGCTAAGCCAGACTCTATCACTTGGGAGGCCTGTATGGAAGGACTGGGGGGGGGCTGCAACTAAAACCAATGGACTCTACTCCCCCTTCCCACTTTGACAAAGCCTGAGTCCCCACGTTCTCTGGGAGAAGTGCTTCCTGGTTCTAATCCTCTTTAGCCTGAATACCTGTTGGGGAGGGGTGCAGCTCCTTGTCTGGCCAGAGTGTGGCCCTGGGGGAAAATTTGGCAGCACAAAGACTTCCTGATAAACCTGTGAAATCTGCTCTTCCAGGGGTGCTTTCATTAATATGTTAAGGGTTTTGGCAGGAAACCCTAAAACTTTGTTCCTGACAGACTCTGACTCATACTAAGCCCTCAGATTTCTTTGAAATGTTATCTATTGTTTGATCCTTGCCGCCCTGTATTCCTGTGTATTACAACCCAATAAAAGCCTCTAGAGGAGGGGACTCAACACCTTTTTCCCCTAAGAAACTGGCCACTGCTCATGGCCTTTTTCATCTGGGAAAATGGCCACTTCTCCTCCCCAAGCAGATCACATCATGTCTGTCATATTTATTCTCATCCGTGGTGGCTGGGGGGACTTGTGAGGAAAGTCACCCCCACAATGAACATGAAGGTACAGATACCTCTTTGAGATAGTGATTATATTTCCTTTGGATGTCCACCCAGATGTGGGACTGCTGGATCATATGGTAGTTCTATTTTAATTTTTTGAGGAACCTCCATGGCTCCTTCACACAAGCATGGGTGCTACTCTGCCCTGGATGTTTGCCAGACATCTGCATGTACTCAGCCTGTGTGAGGGGCAGGTGCAAGTAACAGGGTGTTCATGACCCTTGGAGCAGCTCTCAACCAATGACAGATGGAAATTGTGGATACTCACCTCACTTTCTTCACTCATCAGGTGGGACAATTTAGAGGTATGTTTTCTCCAGTCTCAGAATTCTCTAGCAGGTAAGGACCTTATTTGCCTTCAAATAAGCCTCCTTGGTGACCCCTTTTGTTTCTGTCTCACTTTCACACTCCTGTTAGTGCTTCCTGGGTCACTTCACAGATAAACAACTGCTATGAAATCTTTGTTTCATGGCACTTCTGGGGAAACTCAACCTCTGGGATATTAGATCTTCCAGAACATGAGCTCATACTCCCTATGGTTATGGGCACTCAGTGAGATTCTTTGAGGAAGCACTGTGTAGGGCAATTGTATAACTCCTGGCATTATCTGACTTTGGAGAGTCTGAGGTCATATGGATAAAGACTATGCACCTTTGGAGATCCAGGTATTGTCTGGGGTGGTATATAAACTCCATTTCAACTTTTGCATTTGGATGTAGCATGATTCTGACAGATGAGTATCATAGTTGAGAAGAGGAAGCAAAGAGGGTATTTGATTTCTGAGGAATGTTTGTTTAGTCTCTGGGTCTATTAAAGGTATGTGTGTGGAGGGGGTTGTATAAAACTCAGTGAGTGGCTATTGTTCCCAGGCAGTGTGGAGGAAGGTTTGTATAGAGAAAGAAATACAGGAGAGAGAGAGAGATACAGAGACAGAGATATAGAAAGATAATAGATAGAGATTGACTTTCTTTAAAACTGGTCTTTTTTTCTCAAGTCATATTTTATTATATATTTTAATATATTTTATTGGTTATGCTATTACAGTTGTCCCATTTTCCTGCCTTTATTCCCCTCTGCCCTGCACACCATGTCCCACCCACAGTCCCCCACTTTAGTTCATGTCCATGGTCATACATATAAGTTCTTTGGCTCCTACATTTCCTATACTATTCTTGCCCTCCCCCTTCTATTTTCTACCTACCATCTATGCTACTTATTCTCTGTACCTTTTCCCCTTCTCTCCTCCTTCCACTCCCCTGTTGCTAACCCTCCATGTGATATCCATTTCTGTGGTTCTGTTCCTGTTCTAGTTGTTTGCTTTTGTTTTAGGTTTGGTTGTTAATAACTGTGAGTTTGTTGTCATTTTACTGTTCATAGTTTTTTATCTTCTTCTTTTTCTTAGATAAGTTCCTTTAACATTTCATATAATAAGGGCTTGGTGATGATGAACTCCTTTAACTTACTGTATATAAGAAGCACTTTATCTGCCCTTCCATTCTAAATGATAGTTTTGCTGGAGAGAATAATTTTGGATGTAGGTCCTTGTCTTTCATGACTTCAAATACTTCTTTCCAGACCCTTCTTGTCTGCAAGGTTTCTTTTGAGAAATCAGCTGACAGCCTTATGGACACTCCTTTGTAGGTAACTGTCTCCTTTTCTCTCGCTGCTTCTAAGATTCTCTTCTTACATTTAATGTTGACTAATGTAATTATGATGTGCCTTGGTATGTTTCTCCTTGGTTCCAAGTACTTTGGGACTCTCTGAGCTTCCTGGACCTCCTGGAAGTCTATTTCCTTTGCCAGATTGGGGAAGTTCTCCTTCATTATTTGTTCACATAAGTTTCCAATTTCTTGCTCTTCCTCTTCTCCTTCTGGTACCCCTATGATTTAGATGTTGGAATGTTTAAAGAAGTCCTAGACATTCCTAAGCCTCCTAATTTTTTTGAATTTTTGTTTCTTCATTCTGTTATGGTTGAATGTTTTTTTCTCCCTTCTGGTCCACGCCATTGAGTCCTGGTTTCCTTCTCATCACTGTTGGTTCCATGTACATTTTCCTTTATTTCACTTAGCATAACCTTCATTTTTTTCATCTAATTTGTGACCATATTCAACCAATTCTGTGAGCATCCTGATTACTAGTGTTTTGAACTGTGCATCTGATGAATTGGCTATCTCTTCATTGCTTCATTGTGTTTGTTCTGGAGCTTTGGTCTGTTCTTTCATTTGGGCCATTTTTTTTTGTCTTGGTGCACCTGTTATGTAGTAAGGGGGCAAAGCCTTAGGTGTTCACCAGGGCAGGTCAGCCCATTGCGTGGTGACATTGTCAGTGGGGGAGGTGTCTGAGAGGGAACAATGCCACTTGTTTTGCACTCTGCCAGTTTTCAGTCACTTCCCCCACTACCCACAATCACATTGGGCCCTTCTGGTGCTGATTCCCGGGTGGATGGGCTTGTGTGCATTCTAGGACCATGTTGGCCTCTCCAATGAACTCTCCTGTGAGGCTAGGAGTTTCTCCCACTGCTGCCTCATCCCCTACAGGTGTTTTCAGTCAGAGGTTTGAGGCTTTATTTCTCCACGCTGGAGCCCTGGATTGTGTGGTCTGTCTTGCTCTCCAGTTGTTCATCCTGGTTTATCTGCACACGAATGTGGGACCGCCTGGTCCTCTAGCTGCCACCTTGCCCACCCCAGTCCTTCAGCTGCTGCCTTGCCTCGAGTCCTCCCCACCCAGCTGCCTGTCTTCTGCTCCTCCTACCAGTCTGGATGAATGTTTCTTCTTTAACTCCTTGGTTGTCACACTTCCATACAGTTTGATTTTATGTCAGTTCTGGTTGTTTTTTATTTTTAAGTTTGTTGTTGTCCTTCTTTTGGTTGTGGGAGGAGGCACAGTGTGTCTACCCATGCCTCCCTCTTGGCTGGAAGTCCTGAAATCCATGTTTTATTGATTATGCTATTACAGTTGTCCCAATTTTGTCCCTTTGTCCTCCTCCACCCAGCACCCCTGACTCCCTCAGGCATTCTCCACATCACTGTTCATGTCCATGGATCATGTGTATAAGTTCTTTGGCTACTCCATTTCCTTTACTTTGCAGCCCCATGGCTATTCTGTAACTACATATTTGTACTTAATCCCTTCGTCTCTGCTCCCATTCCCCCACACCTGCCTCCCATCTGTCAATCATCTAAACACTCTCCATATCCATGATTCTGTCTCTGTTCTTCTTATTTGCTTAATTTGTTTTTTAAATTCAATCATTGATATGTATTTTTCCCATTTTATTGTTTATAGCTTTGATCTTCTGTTTCTTAAATAAGTCCCTTTGATTTTTTTCTTTTTAAAAATTCATTAATTTTTTAAATTTTAATTGTTGTTCAAGTAGTTTTCTGCCATTTACTCCAATCCCAGCCCACCCCCCTAGACCTCCCCACCTCCCTCCTGTTTCCACCCTCCCTTTGTTTTTGTCCACGTGTCCTTTATCGTTGTTTCTGCAAACCCTTCCCCTTTCCCCCTGAAATTCCCTCCCCTCTCCCCTCTGGTCACTTCAGCCTGTTCTCTATTTCAGTGTCTTCGGTTGTATTTTGATTGTTTGTTTGTTTTGTTGATTAGGTTCCTGTTAAAGATGAGATCATATGGTATTGTCTTTCACTGCCTAGCTTATTTCACTTAGCATAATGTTTTCCAGTTCCATCCATGCTGTTGCAAAGGGTAGGAGCCCCTTCTTTCTTTCTTCTGCATAGAATTCCATTGTGTAAATGTACCATAGTTTTTTGATCCGTTTACTGATGGGCACCTAGTTTGCTCCCAACTCTTGGCTATTGTAAATTGTGCTGCTCTGAACATTGGGGTACATAGGTTCTTTTGGACTGGTGTTTCAGTGTTCTTAGGATATAATCCTAGCAGTGGAATTGCTGGGTCAAAAGGCAGATCCATTTTGACATGTCATATAATATTTTTGTGATGTTGAACTCCTTTAGTTTCTTCTTGTTGGGAAGCTCTTTATCTGCCTTTTAATTTTAAATGGTATCTTTGTTGGGTAGAGCAATCTTGGCTGTAGGTCCCTGCTTTTTATGACTTTAAATATTTCTTGCTATTCCCTTCTAGCTTGCAAAGTTTCTTTTGAGCTGAAAGTCTTAGGTAAACTTCCTTGTAGATAACTGATTGGTTTTCTCTTGCTGCTTTTAAGATTCTCTCTTTATCTTTAATATTTCACATTTTAATTAATCTTGTGTCTTGGAGTGGGCCTCTTTGCAATCATGTTGTTTGGGACTCTCTGTACTTTGTGGACTTGTAGGTTTATTTTCTTTGCCAAATTAGAAAAGATTTTCTTTCATTACTTTGCAAACAGATTTTCAATTTCTTGCTCTTTCTCTTCTCCTTCTGGTCCCCCTAAGATGGGAATATTGGAATGCTTGAAATTGCCCCAAAGACTCTTTACACTATCCATGTTTTTTGGATTCTTTTTTCTCCTTGTTGCCCTAACTGGTGGTATTTTGCTTCTTTATGTTCCAAATCATTAATTTGATTCTCCTCTTCATCCACTCCACTGTTGTTTCCTTGTAAATTGTTCTTTATTTTAATGAGTGTATCCTTCATTTCTGACTGGATGTTTTTAGAGAGAGGGAAAGGGAAGGAGTGAGAGAGGGAGAGAAACATCACTGTATGGTTGCCTCTTAAGCACCACAAACTGGGGACCTGGCCTACAACCCAGGCATGTGCCCTGACTGGGAATGGAACAGTAACCCTTTTGTCTGCAGGCTGCATTCAATCCACTGAGCTACACCAGCCAGGGCTTCTCAGTAAGTCTCTTGAGCATCCTTATAAACAAGTGTTTTGAACTCTGTATCTGATAGATTGCTTATCTCCATTTCGTTTAGTTCTTTTCCTGGGGTTTTGATCTGTTCTTTCATTTGGTCCAC